TGTGTATGATCTTAGCATATGTATGATCTTAGTGAGCGTGTGGATGATCTTAGTGAGCATGTGTATGATCTTAGTGAGCATGTGTATGATCTTAGTGAGCATGTGTATGATCTTAGCATGTGTATGATCTTAGTGAGCGTGTGGATGATCTTAGTGAGCATGTGGATGATCTTACTGAGCATGTGTATGATCTTAGCATGTGTATGATCTTAGCATGTGTATGATCTTAGTGAGCATGTGGATGATCTTAGCATGTGGATGATCTTAATGAGCATGTGTATGATCTTAGCATGTGTATGATCTTAGTGAGCGTGTGAATGATCTTATTGAGTGTGTGGATGATCTTAGCATGTGTATGATCTTAGTGAGCGTGTGGATGATCTTAGTGAGCATGTGGATGATCTTAGTGAGCATGTGGATGATCTTAGCATGTTTATGATCTTAGTGAGCGTGTGGATCTTAGTGAGCGTGTGAATGATCTTAGTGAGCGTGTGGATGATCTTAGTGAGCATGCGTATGATCTTAGTGTGTGGATGATTCATGTGAGTATGTGTATGTTGTGAGGCGTGATGTATATCATACAGTCCTCATTCATCATTTTCCTACGGTAGTCGTCAAGTATTACACACCTTAACCAAGATTGGACTGCTTGCTGCCAGCACCAACTGCCTGATTGATCATGCCATCAACCAGGTCTTTTCTAAGACCCCTGAATTATCTACAGGTAACCTGCAGTTGTGCTGGTGTAGGGGAGTTAGGTGTAGCGACGTAGGTGAAGGCTTTGTACCTAGACAGGTGACTTTCCCCTGTGTGAGCTGGTCCAAGGGTGGCGACGTAGGTGAAGGCTTTGCACCTAGACAGGTGACTTTCCCCTGTGTGAGCTGGTGCAAGGGGGTGGCGACGTAGGGAAGGCTTTGCACCTAGACAGGGGGACTTTCCCCTGTGTGAGCTGGTGCAAGGGTGGCGACGTAGGTGAAGGCTTTGCACCTAGACAGGTGACTTTCCCCTGTGTGAGCTGGTGCAAAGGTGGCGACGTAGGTGAAGGCTTTGTACCTAGACAGGTGACTTTCCCCTGTGTGAGCTGGTCCAAGGGTGGCGACGTAGGTGAAGGTTTTGTACCTAGACAGGTGACTTTCCCCTGTGTGAGCTGTACAAGGGTGGCGACGTAGGTGAAGGCTTTGCACCTAGACAGGTGACTTTCCCCTGTGTGAGCTAGTGCAAGGGTGGCGACGTAGGTGAAGGCTTTGCACCTAGACAGGTGACTAGGTGACCTCCCTAGTTCCCCCCCCTCCCCAAATCACCAGTCCCAGGGAGTAGAGCAAAGAATTGGGAAGATAGATTGAACCGGGGAGCCCAACATGGTCTGAGAGCGTAGGTGGGCGGCCGGAGGGTGGGCTGGTGGTGGGCGGCAGGTGGTGGATGACTATATAAGGACGTCATCCATATGTACGTGGCGACTGTTTATCATCACCCGCCTCCACACTACATCCATTTTAATTTTTTTTAACCTAGTGGTTTAGAGAACGCAGGTTCGAGTCCGCACTTCTCTTTGTACTGTTTGATCCACACCATTTAAGTGTGTTATGTTGTGTGTGAGTGTGTTACGTTGTGTGTGAGTGTGTTACGTTGTGTGTGTGTTATGTTGTGAGTGTGTTATGTTGTGTGTGAGTTTTGTTTTTTGTGTGTGAGTGTGTTTATTTTTGTGTGTTTTGTTGTGAGTGTGTTAGTTGTGTGTGAGTGTGTTACGTTGTGTGTTGTGTTATGTTGTGAGTGTGTTATGTTGTGTGTGAGTGTGTTATGTTGTGTGTGAGTGTGTTATGTTGTATGTGAGTGTGTTATGTTGTGTGTGAGTGTGTTATTTTTGTGAGTGTTTTTATGTTGTGTGTGAGTGTGTTATTTTTGTGTGTGAGTGTTTTATGTTGTGTGTGATGTGTTATGTTGTGTGTGAGTGGTTAGTTGTTGTGAGTGTGTTATGTTGTGTGTGAGTGTGTTATGTTGTGTCTGAGTGTATTATGTTGTGTGTGAGTTTTTTAAATGTTGTGTGTGAGTGTGTTATGTTGTGAGTGTGTTATGTTGTGTGTGAGTGTGTTATGTTGTGTTTGAGTGTGTTTTATGTTGTTTTCTGAGTGTGTTATGTTGTGTGTGAGTGGGGGTCATTTGTGTGTGAGTGTGTTATGTTGTGTCTGAGTGTGTTATGTTGTGCGTGAGTGTGTTATGTTTTGCGTGAGTGTTTTATGTTGTGTGTGAGTGTTATGTTGTGTGTGAGTGTGTTATGTTGTTGGGGGGGGTGTTAGTTGTGCGTGAGTGTGTTATGTTGTGCGTGAGTGTTTTATGTTGTGTGTGGTGTTTTTATGTTGTGTGGGGAGTGTGTCTGTTGTGTGTGAGTGTGTTATGTTGTGTGTGAGTGTGTTATGTTGTGTGTGAGTGTGTTATGTTGTGCGTGAGTGTTTTATGTTGGGTGAGTGTGTTTTTGTTGTGTGTGAGTGTGTTATGTTGTGTGTGAGTGTTTTTATGTTGTGTGTGAGTGTGTTATGTTGTGTCTGAGTGTGTTATGTTGTGTCTGAGTGTGTTATGTTGTGTGTGAGTGTGTTATGTTGTGTGTGAGTGTGTTATGTTGTGTGTGAGTTGTTATGTTGTGTGTGAGTGTGTTATGTTGAGTTGAGTGTGTTATGTTGTGCGTGAGTGTGTTATGTTGTGTGTAGTGTGTTTATGTGTTGTGGTGAGTGTGTCATGTTGTGTGTGAGTGTGTTATGTTGTGTCTGAGTGTGTTATGTTGTGTGTGAGTGTGTTATGTTGTGTGTGAGTGTGTTATGTTGTGTGTGAGTGTGTTATGTTGTGAGTGTGTTATTGTTGTGTGTGAGTGTGTGTACGTTGTTTGTGTGTTATGTTGTGAGTGTGTTATGTTGTGTGTAGTGAGTGTGTTATGTTGTGTGTGAGTGTGTTTATGTTGTATGTGATTGTGTTATGTTGTGTGTGAGTGTGTATGTTGTGAGTGTGTTATGTTGGTGTGAGTGTGTTATGTTGTGTGTGAGTGTGTTATGTTGTGTGTGTAGTGTGTTATGTTGTGTGTGAGTGTGTTATGTTGTGTGTGAGTGTGTTATGTTGTGTGTGAGTGTGTTATGTTGTGTGTGAGTTGTTATGTTGTGTCTGAGTGTATTATGTTGTGGTGTGAGTGTTTTATGTTGTGTGTGAGTGTGTTATGTTGTGAGTGTGTTATGTTGTGTGTGAGTGTGTTATGTTTGTTTGAGTGTGTTATGTTGTGTCTGAGTGTGTTATGTTGTGTGTGAAGTGTGTCATGTTGTGTGGGTGTGTTATGTTGTGTCTGAGTGTGTTATGTTGTGTCTGAGTGTGTTATGTTGTGCGTGAGTGTGTTATGTTTGCGTGAGTGTTTTATGTTGTGTGTGAGGTGTTATGTTGTGTGGAGTGTGTTATGTGTGTGTGAGTGTGTTATGTTGTGCGTGAGTGTGTTATGTTGTGCGTGAGTGTTTTATGTTGTGTGTGAGTGTGTTATGTTGTGTGTGAGTGTGTCATGTTGTGTGTGAGTGTGTTATGTTGTGTCTGAGGTGTTATGTTGTGTCTGAGTGTGTTATGTTGTGTGGGGTGGTTATGTTGTGTCTGAGTGTGTTATGTTGTGTCTGAGTGTGTTATGTTGTGCGTGAGTGTTTTATGTTGTGTGTGAGTGTGTTTATGTGTGTGTGTGAGTGTGTTATGTTGTGTGTGAGTGTGTTATGTTGTGTCTGGTGTGTTATGTTGTGTCTGAGTGTGTTATGTTGTGCGTGAGTGTTTTATGTTGTGTGTGAGTGTGTTATGTTGTGTGTGAGTGTGTTATGTTGTGTGTGAGTGTGTTATGTTGTGTGTGAGTGTGTTATGTTGTGTCTGAGTGTGTTATGTTGTTGTGTGAGTGTGTTATGTTGTGTGTGAGTGTGTTATGTTGTGTGTGAGTGTGTTTATGTTGTGTGTGAGTGTGTTATGTTGTGTGTGAGTGTGTTATGTTGTGTGTGAGTGTGTTATGTTGTGTCTGAGTGTGTTATGTTGTGCGTGAGTGTGTTATGTTGTGTGTGAGTGTGTTATGTTGTGTGTGAGATGTGTCATGTTGTGTGTGAGTGTGTTATGTTGTGTTTGAGTGTGTTATGTTGTTGTCTGAGTGTGTTATGTTGTGTCTGAGTGTGTTATGTTGTGTCTGAGTGTGTTATGTTGTGTCTGAGTGTGTTATGTTGTGTCTGAGTGTGTTATGTTGTGTCTGAGTGTGTTATGTTGTGTCTGAGTGTGTTATGTTGTGTCTGAGTGTGTTATGTTGTGTCTGAGTGTGTTATGTTGTGTCTGAGTGTGTTATGTTGTGTCTGAGTGTGTTATGTTGTGTCTGAGTGTGTTATGTTGTGTCTGAGTGTGTTATGTTGTGTCTGAGTGTGTTATGTTGTGTCTGAGTGTGTTATTTGTGTCTGAGTGTGTTATGTGTTTCTGAGTGTGTTATGTTGTGTCTGAGTGTGTTATGTTGTGTCTGAGTGTGTTATGTTGTGTCTGAGTGTGAAGCCTTCCAAGTGAGTGTTTTTCCTAACCTCTGAGTGCTTTATCTATCATCTGAGTGTCTTACCAACCTTTTGAATGCCTTGCCAATGCTTTGAGTGTTTTACCAATCTTATGAGTGCCTGATTGTCTTACCAATCTTCTGAGTGCCTTACCAATGCTCTGAGTATTTTACCAATCGTATGAGTGCCTTAACAATCTTCTGAGTGTCTTACCAATTTTCTGATTGTCTTACCAATCTTCTGAGTGCCTTACCAATGCTCTGAGTATTTTACCAATCGTATGAGTGCCTTAACAATCTTCTGAGTGTCTTACCAATTTTCTGACTGTCTTACCAATCTTCTGAGTGCCTTACCAATCTTCTGAGTGTCTTACCAATCTTCTGATTGTCTTACCAATCTTCTGAGTGTCTTACTAATCTTCTGAGTGTCTTAGCATTCTTCTGAGTGTATGTATAACTCAGGTGTCTCCCCCAGGCTCTGATGGGCGAGGATCGTGTAAGGTGGACGGAGTGTCCTATCCCAGCGAGACTGCCATCCCTCGCGACCATCCCTGCCACTACTGCATTTGTTACCAGGGTCAGGTCAGTCGAACTCAACCACCCAGTGTTGTGTGTCATCACCTAGTTGTGTCTGCTAGGGTTGAACTGTGGACTCCTGGGCCTCCCTGGCTCGGTCTCTCTCTCTCTCTCTCTCTCTCTCTCTCTCTCTCTCTCTCTCTCTCTCTCTCTCTCTCTCTCTCCTCCTCTCTCTCTCTCTCTCTCTCTCTCTCTCTCTCTCTATCTTATTTATATCTATCTGTCTATCTGTCTATCTATCTCCTTTATAGGATTTGACGTATTTGATTATTATTAGTAGTATTTGTATTATTATTATTATTATTATTATTATTATTATTATTATTATTTGTATTATTATTATTGTATAATAATATTATTATTATTATAGTAATAATAATTATTATTATTGTTATTATTATTACATTTTAAGGTTATAGAGCTTCTGGAAAATGGTAATCATATTGAGTACCATTTCTCCAGAAGGAAAGGAGGATTAACTCCCATTCCGTGGATGGAGAACTCAGACTGACCCTTGTGACTCTTGGCTCTCAGATCACCTGCTACTGGAAGCAGTGCGCAGCTGCGCCCAGGGACTGCGCTATCATGCACTTCGATAACGTGTGTAATCCTTCGCTATACATGTGCAGTGAGTACACCAACTCTCTTATGTTACACGATCTTTACGTTCAACTCAAACATTGAGGACCGTGGTTCGATCCCCGGTACGGGAGAGGACATTAGGAAGTGTTTCCTTAAGACACTTGGTGTCCATGTTCACCTAGCAGTAAGTAGGTACCTGGGTGTTAGACACCTCATACCTGCTGTCCCTGGTCACCTAACAGTAAGTGGGTACCTGAGTGTTAGTCACCACATACCTGCTGTCCCTGCTCACCTAGCAGTAAGTGGGTACCTGAGTGTTATTCACCTTACACCTGCTGTCCCTGGTCGCCTAACAGTAAGTAGGTACCTGGGTGTTAGTCGACTGGTGTGGGTCACATCCTGGCGGACAAAATTAACCTAATTTGCCCGAAATGCTCTCCATAATCAGGGACTTTCTGTATAGCATGTCATTGATACCAGCTATAGTCTGTATAAGTTGTATCATGTACTTGTAAAAATAAAGATTATTATTATTATTATTATTATTATTATTATTATTATTATTATTACTGTTGTGGCTCTTAGTTTCGTGGGTTATATCGCTGGTTCATTTACAGGTTAAGAACTGTTGCTTTACCTTGGGTCATTTAAAAAGCTTAGCTATAAAATATAGTATAACCCCCTTCAACTCCCTCCCCAGGATGCCACCCACATCAGCCTGCTAACACCCGGGTACCTATTTACTGCTAGGAGCTTAACAATTCGCAAACGGGCGAAATATTTATAAACATTATCTCTCAGTTCAGAGCAGGATTCGAACCTGCAAACACGGCATCAGAGTACACAGTACTTTATCCCTCTGGAGTTTGTGTGGATAAAGTACTGTGTACTGATGCCGAGTTTGCAGGTTCGAATCCTGCTGTGGACTGAGAAATAATGTTTGTAAATTACTGCTAGGTGAACAGAGGGCGATAGGTGTGTGGAGACCTGCTCATACTTCTCTACCTGCCCCAGAACTGAACCCGGGTACTTCCATTGTGAGCCGAAGGCTCTATTCATCGACCTGATTGGTAGTCCATTTTGCACCGTGTACCATGTCAACAGTGTGTATACAGAGATTATTGTACGTGTACTGAGAGATGTGTATATATACCTGGAGTTTACCTGGAGAGAGTTTCGGGGGTCAATGCCCCCGCGGCCCGATCTGTGACCAGGCCTCCTGGTGGATCAGCGCCTGATCAACCAGGCTGTTGCTGCTGGCTGCACGCAAACCAACGTACGAGCCACAGCCCGGCTGATCAGGAACTGACTTTAGGTGCTTGTCCAGTGCCAGCTTGAAGACTGCCAGGGGTCTGTTGGTAATCCCCCTTATGTGTGGTGGGAGGCATTTGAACAGTCTCGGGCCCCTGACACTTATTGTATGGTCTCTTAACGTGCTAGTGACACCCCTGCTTTTCATTGGGGGATGGTGTCGTCTGCCAAGTTTTTTTGCTTTCGTAGTGAGTGATTTTCGTGTGCAATTTTCGGTACTAGTCCCTCTAGGATTTTCCGGGGCTTGTAATAATCATTTTATCTCTCCCTCCTGCTTTCCCAGGGAATACAGGTTTAGAACCTCAAGCGCTCCCTTTAATTGAGGTGTTTTATCTCCGTTATGCGCGCCGTGAATTTTCTTGTACATTTTCTAGGTCGGCAATTTCACCTCCCTTGAAAGGTGTTTTTGAGTTGCAGCAATATTCCAGCCTAGATGAACAAGTGACCTGAAGAGTGTCTCTGGGCTTGGCCTCCTAGTTTTGAAGGTTCTCATTATCCATCCTGTCATTTTTCTAGCAGATGCGATTGATAAATGTTATGGTCCTTGAAGGTGAGACCCTCCGACATATCACTCCCAGGTCTTTGACGTTGGTGTTTCGCTCTATTTTGTGGCCAGAATTTGTTTTGTACTCTGATGAAGATTTAATTTCCTCATGTTTACCATATCTGAGTAATTGAAATTTCTCATCGTTGAACTTCAAAATTGTTTCTGCAGCCCACTGAAAGATTTGGGTTTGATTTTCCGCCTGGAGCCTTGCAGTGTCTGCAAGGGGAAGACACTGTCATGCAGATTCGGGTGGTCATCTGCAAAGGAAGACACGGTGTTGTGGCTGACATCCTTGTCTATGTCGGATATGAGGTGAGGAACAAGATGGGAGCTATTTACTGTGCCTTGTGGAACAGAGCTTTTTCACCGTTGCTGCCTCGGACTTTCTTGTTGACGGACTACTCTCTGTGTTCTGTTAGTGAGGAAATTATAGATCCATCGACCGACTTTTCCTGTTATTCCTTTAGCGCGCATTTTGTGCGCTATTACGCCATGGTCACACTTGTCGAAGGCTTTTGCAAAGTCTGTATATATTACATCTGCATTCTTTTTGTCTTCTAGTGCATTTAGGACCTTGTCGTAGTGATCCAGTAGTTGAGACAGACAGGAGCGACCTGCTCTAAACCCATGTTGCCCTGGGTTGTGTAACTGATGGATAATTTACTTTATTTCCTGTTTTAAAGATTAATATATTGTTGAATATTGGCGTATAGGAATTATTCAAGTTTTAATGACAGTCATGTAGGCCATAGGGTTTAAACCTCACAAAATAAGCAGCCATGTTTCCGTCAGCTCTTAAGTAGACGTCTTGTTGTGGGTATATAGAGCAACTGACACCTTGCGCCGTATCGAGTCCTACTAACCTCTTCTTGTGGATTAATAGAGCTACTGACGCTTTGCGCCGTATGGAGTTTTACTAACCTCTTGTTGTGGGTATTAGAACCACTGACACCTTGCGCCCTATAGAGTCCTACTAAACTCTTGTTGTGGATATATAAAGCTACTAACACTTTATGCCGTATAGTCCTACTAACCTCTTGTTGTGAATGTATAGAGCCACTGACACCTTGCGCCATATAGAGCCCTGTCGTAGGAGTAATTTTGGTGTGCAGATTTGAGACCAGATCCTTCAATGTTTTCCCAGTTGTAAATTATGATATATCTTTCTCGCCTGTGCTCCAGGGTGTATAATTTGAGCGCAGGCGTTCCATGCAATTTAAAGATAGAGTAATGCCAGAGGTCAAAGATTTCTAGCATTCTTCAGGGCATTTTAGCTATACTTTAATGAGGCTGTTACTATTGTTATCGTCGCTACTGTGTCAAGGATTATGAACATAATAATATATAATAATAATAATAATAATAATAATAATAATTATTATTTTTATTATTATTTTTATTATTATTATTATTATATTTATTTTTATTTTATTATTAACACTTCATAGCATACCTAAGTCTTTTTCATTACATTAAATATTACGTCAGTTAACATCACACAACAGTAAACTCAAAATAGTTAACATCACACAACAGTAAACTTTAGCATAGTTAACATCCACAACAGTAAACATAAATTTGTTAAAATCACACAACAATTTAATATCAAACTATTTTTCATCAACCAGTAAACATCAGTAGTTAACATCACAAAAAACAGTAAAAATTTTAAATAAATTTTAACATCAACCGGAAAATTCCCGCATAGTTTAAAATAAAACAAAAGTAAAAAAATCAACTTTGTTTAAAATCCCAAAACAGTTAAAAATTTAGCTTTGTTAAAATCACACAACAGTAAACTTTAAATTGGTTTTCATCCCAACAGTAAACATTAAAATAGTTAAAATCCCACAAAGTTTTCATCAAAAAAGTTAACATCTACCCGTTAAACCTTTAGCATTGTTAACTTTTTTACAAACAGTAAAAATCAAATTTGTTAACATCACTCAAAAATAAAATCAAATTTGTTAACATCAACACAGTAACATCAGCTTGTTAACATCCACAACAAGGGAAACATCAACTTTTTTTTACCTTTTTCCAAACGTTTTAAAATTTTAACCCTAGTTAACATAAAAACCGGTTAAAAAATCAAACATAGTTAACTTTTACCAAAAAAATTTAAAAATCACTTTGGGGTTAAAATTAACACGTTTTTAACCTTCAATAGTTAACAAAACACAACAGTAAAATTTAACATAGGTTTAAAAATTTACCTCAGTAAAAAAGAACATAAATTTAAAATCACACAACAATAAAAAATTAAAAAAAGAAAAATCACACAACATAAACTTTAAAATGTTAAATCACCAAACAATTAAAAATCAAAAATTGTTAAATCACACAACATTTAAAAAAACAAAATTTGTTAACAAACCCCACAACAAAAAATCAACATAGTTAAAATCACAAACAGTAAACATCCAAAAATTTGTTTAAAATCAAAACAAAAGTAAAAAAACAACATAGAAAAAATCACACAACCCCAAAAAAAACATCAAAAAATAGGGTTTTTCATCAACAACAGTAAAAAAATCAAAATAGTTAAATCAACAAAACGTAAACATCAAAAATATTAAAAATAACACAACAGTAAAAAATCAAAATAGTTAAAATCACAACAACAAGGAAATTTAAAAATAGTTAACAAACACCAAAAAATAACATCAACATAGGGTTTAAAATTTTCCCCGACAAAAAAACATCAAAAGTTAAATCACAAAAAAAATAAACATCAACATAGTTTTTCATCACAACCCAATTTAAAAAATCAACATGTTAAATCACAAAACAGTTTCATCAACATTGTTTTAAAACCCCACAACAATAACATTTTAAAATTGTTAACACACAAACAGTAAACAAACAACATAGTTAACATCACAAAAAAATAAAATCAAAAAAGTTAAAATCACCACAACCCAAAAAACATCAAAAATTTGTTAACATCACCACAATTTAAAAATTTAACATAGTTTAAAATCACACAACAAAAAAACAACCATAGTTAACATCACACAACAAAAAAAACATCAACCCCTAGTTAACATCACACGACAATAAAACATAAAAATAGTTAACATCACACGACAAAAAACATCAACATAGTTAAAACACAAAGACCTTCAGGTCTTCATAAGGGGACAAAAAACCCCTAGCTTGGTTTTTTAAAGTTATCCTTGCTTTGTGGTCTTTTTGGGGTAGGCGTGGTGCCTGTGGGCGTTTGGGTGGGGCCCGTGGGGTTTGGGTTGGGGGCCCG